GTCACAAGGCTGCCGAGGAGAGAAACTTGGCACCTCTAAAACTCCTACATTCAGATCGCTATGAAATGAATGGGGTGTTGACGAAGGGTGGAAAATGATATTTCATGACGTTGATTGATGATGCTACTAGATTTTGCTATGTGTATATGTTGAAAATGAAAGACGAGGGTCTAGACTATTTTAAAATTTATAAGGCAGAAGTTGAAAATCAACTTGACAGAGAGATAAAAAGATTTAGGTCTGATCGTGGTGGAGAGTTGTTCTTAAACGAGTTTGACTTATTCTATGAGGAACATGGCATCATACATAAGAGGACGCATCCCTATTTTCCCGAGTCTAATGGGATTGCCGAAAGGAAGAACCGCACACTGATTGACTTGGTGAATGCCATGTTGCATACCGCGGAACTACTTAAGGCATGGTGGAGGGAGGCATTGTTGACGTCGAATCATGTGTTAAACAGAGTTCCTAACAGAAACAAGAACAAAACACCAGACGAGATATGGATTGGGAGAAAACCATCACTTTCTTACTTGTGCACACGGGGGTGCTTGGCGAAAGTCAATGTACCAATAACGAAGAAGCGCAAACTTAGACCTAAGACTGTGGACAGTGTCTTCCTGGGATATGCTCATCACAGTACTGCCTATAGATTTTTAATAGTTAAATCTGAGGTACATTTTATGCATGTTGGTACAGTTATGGTGTCTCGTGACGCTACCTTCTTTGAGAGCTTTTTTTTCCAATGAAGGATACACATAGTACTTCTAGCCAACCCTCTGAAATAATTCCCAGTTCAATCACACCACCAGAACAAAATGAACATACACATGAACATGTCATTAAGGAGGATGGCAGTGAAGCTCGTCGGAGGAGTGAGAGATAAAGGATGGCTAAGTCTTTTGGTGATGATTTCACTGTGTACCTCGTGAATGACACTCCGCAGTCAATTTCAGAAGCATATGCATCTCCTGATGCAGACTACTGGAAGGAGGTTGTCCGTAGTGAAATGGATTCCATTATCGCTAACGGGACTTGGGAGGTAACAGAGCGACCCTATGGGTGTAGACCTATGGGGTGCAATTGGGTGTTCAAGAAGAAGTTTACGCCTGACGGTACTATTGAAAAGTACAAGGCTCAGCTTGTTGAAAAGGGCTATACTCAGAAAGAAGGCGAAGATTTCTTTGACACTTACTCACTTATTGCTAGATTGACCACAATTCGCGTACTACTTTCCCTAAGCCTCACATGGTCTTGTCGTTTATCAAATGGACGTTAAGACAACTTTCCTCAATGGAGAGCTGGAGGGAGATCTATATGGATCAACCTGATGGGTTTGCAATTGAAGGTCAAGAAGGCAAGGTGTGCAAATTGATGAGATCTTTGTATGGTCTGAAACAAACTACTAAGCAATAGCATGAGAAATTTGATAGAACATTTACATTTGCAAGCCTCCAAGTCAATGAGGCAAATAAATGTGTATACTATCGCTATGGTAGGGGTGAGGGAGTTATTCTGTGCTTGTATGTTGATGACATACTAATATTTGAGACAAATACTGAGGTGATAAATGAGGTTAAATCATTCTGTCTCAAAGTTTCGATATGAAGAAGTTGGGAGTAGCTGATGTTATACTAAACATTAGGAAAAGTAGGGGTGAGAATGGGATTACACTCTTGCAGTCCCATTATGTGGAGAAGATCTTGAATCGCTTTGGCTACATTGACAGCAAGCCTTCTCCAACACTTTATGATCCTAGCTTGCTGCTTCGCAAGAACAAGAGAATTGCTAGGAATCAATTGGAATATTCCCAAATCATTGAACATAAGGTTGGTGCTGTTTCGTGGAGGTCTTCACACTGGGTGGTGGTGTTGTTTCGTACCCATGTGAGTTATACTATTGTGGTAACCCAGTCTATGTGATCGGAGATCCCGTGAATTGGATCCTGGGAAGAACAAGCCATAAGTTAACTGAAGGAGAGTACCAATATAAACCCTCTCTAAGTGAAGATGCATGTACTCTCGTGAGCTGCAAGGCAGGTTGGCTATGCCTTAATGAGTTTTGTTGGCTTTAATTTGCGAAGATGCTGTCCTGCAGAGCATTCTTGAAAGAACTCACCTTTGTGAGCTTGACTGTTGGTCGCAGTCTACGGAGATTTTGGATGAATCTTCTAGGAAGCTTACTAAAAGACCAAGGAGTATGACTTATACGCTCCAAATGAGGGGTAGTTTACAGACGGTCTAGTATCAGATAAGACTCTGAGTAAAATTTGCTTGCACAAGACTTGCAATGCAAGGCATAGTCCATTGTTCAAGTTGTGAGTAAGTGTAGCTTGGAGTTCTAGATGGATGTTCAACCTTAATCGGTCTCCATCGAACCGTTGGTCTATAAAAAGTACATTGGAAAAGGAAAATCTCAGTGAGATTTTAAGATTTGGTGGGGGATTGTTGGAATTAACAGATGGGTCTTAGTCCACTTGAAGATTAATTCTTTGGAAAATCACAAAAGCCCACCTCATGTGATGGTATGCATGGGGAGTTTAGTACCACCTTGCTTATTCTAGGAGAGGGGGACCTCCTTAAAAGGGAGGATGCCTTCCTAGCCACTTGAAGCATGTGAGGTGGAGAGAAGAGGCGAACACACCCGCGCGCTCACTCGCCTCGCCTGGTCCACCAAAATTGGTTCCTCACCCTTGCGCAGATGCAACCTCCTTTTGTAGTTTTGTTTTGTTGTAGGAAATTCGGATTTGTTTGTTTTGGAAACATTTCGAAAAATCCGGTGCGTGAAAATGGCGTGGAGTCCGGATAGGTTACGCGCGATTTATCCGGTTCGGTTACACGGAGTGGACATCGTGTGGACGCCCTGATCAAGCGACCTTTCTCTATATAAACTGAGCCGCCACCTCCATGCAACGACACAAAATCAATCTAGGGTTTGCCTCCACGCAACAACATCGTGCGGGCACCCTGATCAAGCGCCGTCGCTCGTAGTCTACTCCATCCCGCTCGTAGGCGTGCACCGGCGATCGGGAGAGCAAGTCTCCGGAACCTCTACCTTCGATGTCCTGCATCGGGAGAAGGCGGCAATAATGTTTTTGGGAAGCGCTTCACGTGACTGTTCCCTGTTCGACCACGACGGCTCATCTTCCTGTTCGTTCGCGTGCTCCATGCTGTCGTCAACGCACACAGTACCCTCGGTACGTGTTCAACGTGTTACACATATTTGATCTGTTCATGTTTTACTGCTTAGTTTACATGTGTAGATCTAATGATGCGTTCATGCTAGTTTACATCTGCAATGTCATAATTTATTTATGGAATAAATTAAACCATTATGTACTTATAAATTTAAAAATCGCTGACGTATATCAGCACCTACAGGGGGCCACGCTAGTCAAAAATTGCTGGGGAGGGGTGAATTCCCAGCTACCTTTAATACTTTCGGTTGCAACGTAAGACTTTTAACTTATGTGGCGAACTTATGTGGCGCTGTATTAAATGAGAGAGATGAAAAAAAAACTTGGTCTTATACAACACATATCTCAAAGGGAAAACCAATACACTATTGCTGCCCCCAGTTTTGGAAACAAAAAATATATTTTGTTTCCCTATACCAACCCCTAGAATAACAGTTGGTACATACAAAAGGCTCCAAAATGTAACGTACCCAAACTCTAGACCTTTAAAATTTCTTGTCAAGATAGTTGAAAGATTACTTTTATATTTTTGTGAGACAAAAATTTTCATTTTAAACATAGGTGAAGATAAAACCAACCTTTATATGTAGGAAAATGAGAGCAAAATTAAAACCTTTTTCATTTCTAACCTGAGATTAAAAAAAAGTGCAACCATATGTGTAATTATGCATACTTGCATAGGACATAGTTTAACTTGAGTCTTTTTTCTTGTGCATTTGTATTTTTGGTTGGCATGGCATAATAGGTCTGATGAACATGATTAAAAGCTAACTTCACTAAGCAAACCTAAAGTCATTCTTGAGGTATAACTTTAAAGACATGAAAATGGAGTTAAGTAATAACATGTCAGGTCAAGAGAAATCCAAATATAATTCTTATAAAATTTAGATGCATTTATGCATTGGAAACACACATATAAAGAAAGGTCTTGCTAATTATCAAGAACAATCCATGCAAGACAAAATCATGAGAAAATTCATGAAAGCACAAATCAATATAATCAGCTCACTATAATTTTTACTCAAATTAATATTTAAATTTCTTAGCTCAAATAATTCAGTCAAAGCAGTCAACTATAGGATGTAAAATTTAACTTTAATCTGCTAAAAACATAACTCACAAAAATGTGCATTAAACTGCATAGAAGTGTATGAGTGAAATAATTTATTCACATACTAGGTTAATTATCAAGAGCAAATATAATTTTTCTAGAGTTTATTTCTTCTATTTAGACCTCCTAAAATTCAAACAAAGTTCTGGTGAGCCCATATTCTCTATTTGTCTGACAGCAAACTACACATAATTAGTACAACCAAAGAAAATAGAATCTAGATAATTTCATCTACCTCCGGAAAAATCCACTATAAATTATTCTGCACAGAAATTAAATAATTGAATTACTAAAGTGAGGGAGAGAAATAATTCAGGAAAATCGTTGGAAAACATCTTCCACTCATGTTCCTACCCTTACCTCTCTTACCCACATAGCTACCATCGACCTGGGCCCATCTAGCAGCTCCTTGGCCACGCGTCGACCGGTGCCTAGCCGTGTCCGAGACATAGGAGTTTCGAGAAATGCCATCATAGAAACGATTTTGTAACTCAACAGCACGGAATAGACGGAACCCTAACAGAGATGGTATTTTTAGAATAAAATTGTTAGTACGATGATATTTCTTGGAACTTACACTTGTCCATGGTGTTTCTGGGACTTAGACGCTTGTCAATGGTATTTCATAGATTATCTCTTATTATATATGTAAGTCTACCGTCTATTCCATCTAGATATTTCTTTAGAAATCGCTCATGGTGGTGCTGTGCTGTCCTGTCCTTGAATCCGACGATGTCCCTCCTCCTCCTCCTCCTCCTCCTCCTCCTCCTTAGCTTATTCTCTGGTGTGTCCGCCGAAGTGCCATTGACGCGGACGCATGTCACCAGCCTACCAGGCTTCAACGGCGCGCTCCCTTCCCGCCTCGAGACGGGGTTCGTACGCCAAAAGTTCTTCGCCATCATGTTCTACTTGACCATGACCAGGTACGTGCTGCTGCTGATGTGAGTCTTGTCGTCGATCGATCAGATATGTGACCGTCGACGAGGAGAACGGGGCAGAGCTGTTCTACTACTTCTTCGAGTCTGAGGGCGACCCCGGCAGCGACCCCGTCCTCCTCTGGCTCACCGGCGGCGACCGCTGCTCCGTGCTCAGCGCCCTCTTCTTCGAGATCGGTCAGCAACCCAACAGCAAACAAGCCCCGTTGTCACCCAAGAGTGTCAGATCATGTGGTAAATTCATCGCGTAAGTTGCGATTACCCCGCAGGCCCATTGAAGCTGGTCATCGAGCCCTACAACGGCAGCCTTCCGCGGCTGCACTACCACCCTTACTCGTGGACAAAGGTCGCCAGCATCCTCTTCGTCGACTCGCCGGTCGGCGCAGGCTTCTCCTTCTCCAGGGATCCCAAGGGGTACGACGTCGGCGACGTCTCCGCGTCACTGCAGCTCGTGAAATTCCTCTCCAACGTAAGCCCATGTTCTAGTTCTACGCAATTAATTGGCTGTATTTTTCGACCATTTTTGTTCCAAGAAACGCCTCTGATCGCCTGTTTCAGTGGTTCGGTGGCCATCCTGAGTACCTCACGAATCCGTTCTACGTCGGGCGAGACTCTTATGCCGGAAAGATCGTCCCATTTATCGCGCAGAAGATCTCAGAAGGTTTTGCATGTTTCGCAGCAATTACGACTACTTCACAATTTAACGATTCCCTGTTTTTCAGATATTGAAGCGGGGGTAAGACCGACTCTTAATCTCAAGGTTAGCCATCTGTCTGCCATTGATTAATCGCAGAAGAATCATTACCATGGTTAATACGCAGTGGCTAATTAACAAGTAAAATTGCAGTCTCTCGTCCTTATCGAAATACGTCCTCGTGTACAACTTGCATCTAACTGTAGTTCATGTACGGTCGATCTTATAATACGGGCAGTAGTCCAAAACGTTACCATCGTTCTTGATTAATAATGTTTGTTCATCATATAATAGTACAAATAAGTTCACCTAAAAGCTTTGACAAGTTTAATTAGGACTGACCATTCGTCTATATGGCTAGCTATATCCATTTATAATTGTAGGAACTGTTGTTAGAGATAGCAACTGAACTAAATACTGGCGCCAATTTTATTCAGTAACTAGTCGAATCCAATACCAATATCCGGTCTCTATATCCATGCATGACAGATTATGTACTCGTACTAATTACTTTGCATTTTGAGTGTTATTCAGGGCTATGTAGTAGACAATCCAACTACAGGCGAAAGGATCGACTACGAATCAAAGGTGCCATATCTCCATGGTGTCGGAATCATTTCAGATCAATTGTACGAGGTAATTTTAATTAACTAAACACGCTTCCCATTTATTATGTCATCAGTCCAATTTCATTCAGACTGACTTTTTACATTTCTTAATTACACCGGCCTTAAGACAATAATGGAACGCTGCAAAGGGGAGGACCACAACAACCCCAAGAACGTGATTTGCAAACAAGCTTTGACTAGGTTTAACGATGTAAGGTGACAAGTACAACTTCATTTTTTATCATCCTTTTGACTTCTTTTTCCCGGTTCAAATTACGTGCATGGGAATTTCTGTTCGAATCAAGGGAAACGTCTAGAATTCGTCCTTTTGGTTTAAGGTCCCTAGGCTTTCACCAAAGAACAGTTTTGCTATAAATCTATCGTCAAATTTTTTCCTTAAAATTTGACGTTTTTTCAACTGTCCGATTAGCACCTGATTAGGGCAAGGCACATCCCACGGTTCGTGCGGAAGAGACAGCAGGGCGCACTGATGACCAAGTGAAGTACTGTATGTATGCATCTTTTTCTAGCTTTGCCACTGTATAGAACGAAAGCGATTGAACGATAAAACGTCCTTAATACGGGTCAGAGATCTCCCGTGATGTCTATTTCGTATGAGCAGCAGTGTTTTAAAAGTTACATGCAAGTTACACTAGAATTAATGTAAGTTACAATGTAAACTATAATTGTACTATGTTTCTTTAAAATATAAAACTACAGTCCTATATAACTAAAATTACATTTGTAAATTTATTTGACATGACATGCAAGTATATTGTAATTTTGGTAAAAATATTATGTAAGTAAATATGTATTCGTTATTTTCTTTAAAATATAAAATTACAGTCCTATATATAACTAAAATTACATTTGTTAATTCAGTTGATATGACATGTAAGTGCACTGTAATTTTGATAAAAATAATGTGTAAGTAAATATGTATTTGTTATTTTTTTTTGTAGTCCGTTGGATGTAAATCTAGAGATATGAAAAATCTGGGAGATTTTTTTTTGTTAGAAATCACCCGACAAATGGATAGGCAGAAGTCTAAACTTTCGATTTATCCGTCCTTAGACTTCTGGGCTGTGTTCGTTGATTTGGGTTGGGAATCCAACTCCTACACACGGAAAACGGAGCGATTCATTAGCACGTGATTAATTAAGCATTAGCTTATTTTTCTCAAAAATGGATCAATATGATTTTTTAAGCAATTTTCTTATAAAAACTTTTTGCAAAAAACACAACGTTTAGCAATTTGAAAAGCGTGCACGTGAAAAACGAGGGAGGTGAGTTGGGAAACTGGGGAAAAAACTTAGCCATGTATCAGTGAACTTCAGAACCGAACAATATTCATCCCTCAAATTTTCAAACCATATACTCTAGACCCCTAATCCTGAACCACGGTGGTTTCAGTTTAGATGGCGCTTATATAGTACTTTCTTTGTCCCAAAATATAAAAACCTATAACTGGATAGGACGTTTCCTAGTATAACGTATCTTCTACTAGTAAATGTCTCATCTAGTTCTAGGTTATTATATTTTAGAATGGAGGTAGTATCTCGTTAGCGAAAATCATTCAAACGTCTGTCTCTGGTTTCTCTTCACCTTTCACCTTTCCACCTTTTTTATCCTTGTGTTCAACACCACCATGCCCTCTTTGTACCCGGATGCCTGCAACCTACTGGCCATGGATAGAAATAGATCGAGTAGGAAGTAGTAAGTGACCAGATATGCCTCCTCGTTTCTCTGATTGATGCCTTTTGTGCTCCATTTTGTAATTGATCTGATCTGTTCTGTTATGAAGTACTAGTATAAGTAGTAAGTATTATTTTGTTGTCCGTGGAGTTGAGTAGATTACTACATGTGCTTCTATTGTGAGCTCCGGCTAGGTGGTCGATGAGCTCGAGCTGGTGCAGTAGAGTGAGAAAGAGCAACGGAGGAAAAAGCAGAGTGAATGACATTTTTTTTTTTTGGGAAGAGTGAATGACATGTTGACCAGCTGTGTGCAATTTTTTTATTTTTCGAACTAACCACATAACACGTAAGTGCCACATCAACTAAAACCACAATAGGTTAAGGACAACCTGTATAAAATTAATTGTTTAAAAGGTTGAGCGATGAATAGTATCTGGTTTTAACTTTGGATGTTTAGGGGCCTAAAATCAACTTATTGCTATTTAAAACTTCAAAAAGTAGCTAGTATCCTTTTATAGGTCAAGTATGTGTTGAGGCGTAACATCCTGTTATAGCATCTTATTACGATTAAATGAATACTACATATAACATCCATAGGAAATAAGCAACAAATATGGGATGATTCCCGAAAAAAAATTCCTATATTATCTTCTGAGCACACACAATGATTCTTCTGTGCTACCTTGAAATTCACGGGAATATGGGCTACTGTTCCATTGGAATTTGGTGGAAAGCTAGCTAACACGAGTATTGCATTGCTATTCCTAATGTTTCACTGCAGCTACTAAATGAAGTTTCAAAGCCCCACATTTTGTACAAGAAGTGCATTTATATGTCTCTCATCCCAAAATTTGAGAGCATGGACAGAAAGATCCTGAAAGAGGAGCTTGGAATACTAAAGCATCGACCTCCGCGCCCTTCAATACAATGTGTTGTAAGTAGAACTTACCTCAACTATATGGTAATGGCTAGTTATAATCTATGTAAAGTGAGTATAGAAATAATATAGTCGAGGAAGTACATTACTTTCTGAAAATATATAAAATAATATATATGGCATCCTTTATATCCTAAAGGATACAGGAACAGACGCTTGTTTAATTTTATGTTTCTATCTTATACCAATTTAGACCTGAATTAAAATGAACTTTCCTATTGCAGAGCTATTCCAACTATTTGTCATATTTTTGGGCCAACGATAACGTCACACGAGAGTATCTCGGAATCAAGAAGGTAAATTTGTGGTTCCTTCATTTTTCTAGAGATGAATACACGCTTGTTTGCAGTTTACATACAAAATGTATGAAGTTGTCTTCGAATTCTATACATGCTAATATTTCAGGGAAGCGTGGATGAATGGATTAGATGCCACGATAACGATCTACCGTACACCAAAGATATCAAGAGCAGCATACAGTACCATCACAATGTTACATTAAATGGTTATCGTGCTTTAGTATACAGGTAAAGAAAAATTATCACCAAGTTACTTGCTGAAGCTTACATTAGTTGATTTTCAGAAGAAAAAAAAATCTGTCATAGATAAAAGTAAATGATGTGGGATATGACATAGAAGAGGTGTTTTCTATTTGTTTCACTAGTGGATTACTAGTAATCATGCATTTGCAAGGCACGTTTTGGTTATATATATTGCCTATAATCAAACATACTATTTTCTTATATTGCAAATCTGACATCAATTTGCGGAAGCAATTCTACTTCCAAGAGGTAAATAAGTAAGGTGGCATAGTTACTTCACATATATTACAAACTTTACCTCATGAATCAAACTTATATGGTTTAGCAATATGAAATGTTAGAAATAGATTCTGTCTAAAGAATAACAATCATTATGCTTCGAAATCCACATGACAATCTGCAACCACCAGACATTTGGTGTTATCTCAAAAGATAAACAAATGGCAGCACAATCTTGAATAATCGGTAAGATGAAAAAAAGAAGAGAACTTCTAAAGTCAATCTTGAATGGCAGCACAATCCATTCGCCTCACTTGCACCACCATTCCCCTCTAACTCTCCTCTACCCTGCAGCGGGCCGCCATTCCCCTTCAACTCCCCTCTATCTGCAGCGGACACAAACGGGCAACCATAAAAAAACCAAGTACTCAAAACAAACCAATCCGAGACGAAACCTAGTGTTTGCATAAATGAAGACCATACTAATGGTACCTTGGTACCTGCGACCTAATTTTCCGGACTACAGAAAAGGATAGTTAGTAAGAACAAATGATAAAAAAACATATAGAAATTTCGTTTTCTACCCATAGTAAGATAGTGAATAATTGAAAAACAATCCAATTGCTCAATCCGTGATTTAAAAAAAAGAAGAAAGGAAAAAGTGGCACAGTACATTATCACTGAATAATCCACTCAAAAAAATGAACTCAAGTAATACACTGATTTGAAACACATATATATATATATGAGCCAATGTACCCTGACGGAGATATGGGCCCGGGGGTATGTGAAGAAGAGGGGAATTACTTTCCCTTCAGCCACATGACTCTGCAAGTTGGCCCCACTCACACGTCACGCGAGTCGTGGAAGCGGGGGGGGGGGGGGGGGGAAGGGGGGCGGGGGGCCTCGAGGCATGGCGTCACCCTCTCGGGCTCTCCCGTAGCTTCGCCCCGAGGCCCTCACCCGGCTGCCATGTGGCGGAGGGAGAGAGCGAGAGGGAAGCACAGGCTGAATAGCCATAAATGTGCGACGCCCCAACTGTCCCTCACCGCATTTAATGTGGTCAGGGCAGACGTGCGGCGCGCCTAGCTGACCCCTGTCCATCGGATGTGACCGGTCTGTGACCGGCCTGTCACCGTCATGTCCGATGGATAGGGCAATCGTGTCCTCACGTCGCTCCTGTACCCGGCGGAGTGGGGGTGGGTATGACCCGTCACATCCGAGCGTCACTCGAGGAAGGGTTGTCGCAAGTCATCGTTCATTTATGAGAGAATGACAGGGCTGTCCCCCGTGTCAGGCGGGGGGCGGCGCCGGTTTCCACTCGAGAACCGTTTGTTGCTTAGCTTCCGGGAGAAGGCACGGTTTGAAGCCCAAAAAAAGTGGAGTGGGATCCCCCTCCTATGGAGGGTAGGTAGAGGCGGCGCATGTGGTATCCCCTTGAGCTATAAAAGGAGGACCCTGCCCACTGAGATTGGGGGACGACTCCCAGAAAACCTGAGCTTCAGAAGAAAGAAAGCGAGTGTGCTCTCTGGAGTGAAGAAACCTCTGTAAAACTCTACCATAATCCTAAACACAGGAGTAGGGTATTACGCTTCATAGCGGCCCGAACCTGTATAATCCGACGGCGTGCAAGCTTGCCAGTAATCTTAGGGACGAGCGAGTGGTTTTCAAGAAGCAAGCCTCTGTCTTCTGAACTCACAAGAGGGGGGTCTCACGATTCCCCGCTTTCGAGGATCTTCCCTCGACAAGACTACCTCCTTTAGATGTGATGGGGCATATCTCTTGTGCCCAGTTTCTCGGAAAATAATATATAGATTTCAGATGACTGGAATCATGTACGTCACAAATATGAAACTTTGATCAGAAAAAAGTGGAAATTCTTATGATTATGTCATTCAGAGTTATCAGAGCATAGTAAAATCCTCTAACAACAACATGCTTACCAATGACAGCAAATTAGGTATGTGTCTATGTGAAGCTCTAGTTTTCTAAAAAACATGAATATGTACTTACCTCATGATTTCATTAAACGCGGCCACTACAAATCTTTATAGTAGATGAGATCTTATACTTAATGACTGTAACATCAAAATTTCAGTTCAAGATATTCAGTGCCATAATAAGGGGTGAGATTTGGGGTACCTGTAACACATTTTTAGCAGAAGTTTTTAGCAGTACCTGAACAATCTAAAAGAACATATACATAGATCTAAAATATACACAAACCTGGAATATAATTTTAGTGAAGGAACTGATATGCTTAAAATCCTGGAGTACATAGCCGGAGAAGCCACACTATATTTTTAGTGAAGCTACAAATAAACAACACCAACACAATAGAGATGAAAATGATTAAAAACATATATCAGTAACCCCAGAACTTATATATCGTTTTGGTCTTCTCTTCCAAAAGTTGATTATTCTCCAAAAGGTCATCGAAAAAATTCAAGAATACCTTATAAATTTGACGGAAGAGAAAGGGCCTGACTCTAAAACCAAAAAAAACTCAATTATTTTAGTCCATTGCTATGAGCACATGATTCAACCGAAAATGATAAAAAGTCGAATTGTTAAGCATTTTATCAAGTAACCCAAAAGCATGAGAGAGCCATGTGCATGTACCTGATTAGGACACATCAGAATATCAGAAATTCTTGACTTTTTGGATATCTTCTCACCTTGTTCTTGTTCTTGATGACAGTGGCCATCAATCTAATTACATGTTCTTGATGTGAAATCACCTTAGGGTAAGGATTCTTCTTCCCTGCTATAAAAAGAGAGGAAACAATTACCAAAGGTAACCACCTAAATAGATTGTCCAGCGAACTATTAAATACATGCGATTGTAGAAAAAGGAACACATCAACAATATTACAGGCTTTTCAAATGTGCACATCTTCAGTTTTCCTTAAAAGAAGAAAGTCTGACACATTCTTGAAATCAGAAGCATCATGTATTTACATCTAAAGAAAAGAAGAACAATCTGATAAATCTGCACTATGTATATATATCATAGAATGGAAACATAAGATTGTAGTGCGCCATGTAAATTACTGATTGACAAAGAAGCAAACCCTGCAACCAGAGAACAATATGCAGATTTTGTCATTTAGATAGTGAAGTAACTATCTCATGATGTGTCCAGATTCATCGTCTGACTCCATCAAGGATTCAAAGCAAAATAGCACGCATGTAAAAGAACTCATTTCATGGTTCATGTCTAGCTATTCAGTTCTTCTGAGTGACATCACTCGTATGATTTTGCTCGAAAACAAACATGCTTTCTAATTTGAACACACCGAGATGTTACATCCAATTTCTGAACTTTTTGAGAGTAAGGAATTAGAAGGTTCCACATAATTAGCTCTTATATAAACGTGATCTCACAGCATGCTGCATCTAGAATCTGTTAAAACTGAGTCACTTGTAGTTGTTCACCTTCTCCAAAAAATATCATGATTGAGACGTTATGTATTTATCTATTGAACAATATATCAGCAATTCAGAAACCGGCCTGCGTATGCAGGTTGAACAATGTGATTGTGAAACTGTAAGATCCAAATTAGTTGGCTGCACTGCAACTAATCGTGAGAATGGTTCCAAAATTTTATATTTCCATCTATATATACACGCGATCATTTTATAAAAAAGGTTCCAATAATACCACACTATGTTGGAATAAATGGGCTAGGCCCAATTTAATTCAATTAAAATCTCAAGAGCCCACAAGTAATGTTAGAGAGAATAATACTGCGAAGAGTATGGAATTATTCATGAGATGACGCCTCCCTATTCACCCCAGTCAAACGGGGTAGCCGAAAGAAAGAACCGCATTCTAACTGAGATGGTGAATGCCATGTTAGACACTGCAGGACTTTCCAAGGAATGGTGGGGTGAGGCAATATTGACTGCGTGTCATGTCCTGAATAGAATTCCTACTAAGCATAAGGAAGTAACACCATTCGAGGAATGGGAAAGGAAGAAATTAAATCTCTCTCACCTGCGCACATGGGGCTGTTTGACCAAGGTAAATGTACCTATAGCCAAAAAGCGTAAACTTGGACCAAAGACCGTAGATTGTGTGTTCCTTGGTTATGCTATCCACAGTGTGGGATATAGGTTCTTAATAGTAAATTCTGGAGTACCCGACATGTGTGTTGGTACAATTACTGAGTCCAGAGATGCCACATTTTTTGAGAATGAATTTCCTATGAAAAATGCACCTAGCACTTCTAGTCAAGAACCTATTTTATCCCCTGAGCACTTTGTGCCGATAGAACATATTGATCAAACGCTTGAGGAAAATCCTGAGGAGGATAACTACATTGTAAGAGACAAAGGACTGCAAAGTCTTTTGGAGATGACTACATTGTATATCTTGTGGATGATACTCCAAGAACCATTAAAGAGGCATATTCATCTTCTGATGCTGACTATTGGAAGGAAGCGGTACTCAGTGGATGGACTCAATTATGTCTAATGGTACTTGGGAAGTCGTCGAGCATCCATATGGGTGCAAGCCTGTAGGATGCAAATGGGTTTTCAAGAAAAAGCTTAGGCCTGATGGTACAATTGAAAAGTACAAGGCAAGACTTGTGGCCAAGGGTTATACCCAAAAAGAAGGCGAGGACTTTTTCGACACTTATTCACCGGTTGCTCGCTTGACCACGATTCGAGTACTACTCGCTCTGGCAGCCTCTCATGGTCTACTCGTCCATCAGATGGATGTTAAGACAGCTTTCCTCAATGGAGAGTTGGAGGAGGAGATCTATATGGATCAACCAGATGGGTATGTACTAGAAGGTCAGAAGGGAATGGTGTGCAAGCTATTGAAGTCCTTGTATGGTCTCAAACAAGCGCCTAAGCAATGGCATGAGAAATTTGACAATACACTTAGATCTGCTGGCTTTGTTGTGAACGAAGCTGACGAATGTGTGTACTATCGCTATGGTGAGGGAGAGGGAGTGATCTTGTGTTTATATGTCGATGACATATTGATCTTTGGGACCAGCCTCAATGTGATTGAGGAGGTCAAGGACTTTCTGTCCAAATGCTTTGAAATGAAGGATTTGGGAGTGGCTGATGTTATTCTTAACATTAATCTACTGAGAGGAGATGAGGGTGGGATTACACTTGTGCAATCTCACTATGTGGACAAGGTCTTGAGTCGCTTTGGTTATAGTGACTGCAAGGCAGCTCCTACTCCTTATGATCCCAGTGTGCTATTAAGGAAAAACTAAAGAATAGCAAGGGATCAATTGAGATACTCTTAGATCGTTGGTTCATTGATGTACTTAGCTAGTGCAACGAGGCCTGACATCTTATTTGCTGTGAGCAAGTTGAGCCAGTTTGTTTCAAATCCGGGAGATGATCATTGGCATGCTCTTGAAAGAGTAATGCGCTATCTAAAAGGGACAATGAGCTATGGAATTCACTACGCTAGGTACCCAAAAGTGCTGGAGGGCTATAGTGATTCAAATTGGATATCTGATGCTGATGAGATAAAGGCCACAAGTGGGTATGTGTTCACACTTGGAGGGGGCGCTGTTTCCTGGAAGTCTTGCAAGCAGACCATCTTAACAAGGTCAACAATGGAAGCAGAATTCACAGCTTTAGATATTGCCACAGTTGAGGCCGAATGGCTTCGTGAGCTCCTGATGGACTTGTCGGTGGTTGAAAAACCAGTACCAGCAATCCTGATGAACTGTGATAATCAAACAATGATTATTAAAGTGAACAGTTCAAAGGACAACATGAAGTCATCCAGGCATGTTAAAAGAAGACTGAAGTCTGTCAGAAAGCAGAAAAACTCCGGAGTGATAGCATTGGACTATGTCCAGACGGCTAAAAATCTGGCAGATCAGTTTACCAAGGGGCTAGGACGTAATGTGATAGACAGTGCATCGAGGGAGATGGGCTTGAGACCCACTTACAGTTGCACAATAGTGTAAACCTGTCCATTGTGATCGGAGATCCCGTGAATTTGGATGGCGAAACAAACTATTGTGTAGCTGAGAGAAGAGACCCTAAAATGAGCCTATCTTCATGATGCACTTCTCTTCTAATCTGTATGGTAGGATGGTATACACCTTAATGTGATCCGAGTGGCTTTTCATAAAGCAGAGATGTTGGCCTATAGAACACCTTAGAAGGAACACACCTATATGAGTCTGACTGCTAGTCACAGTCTATGAGATCTGGGTGATCTCTAGATACTCATGAAAAGGCCAGGAGTATGACTTATACGCTCAAAACAGAGGGGATGCAAACGACAGCCTAGTACCAGTTAAGGGTTTGAGTGAAACCTGAATCGCACAAGACTGACAATTCAAGGCATAGTCCATTGTTCAGTTGTGATCTGGTGTAGCTCTTTTCCTAGGTAGAAGTTCAACTTAACAGTCTCCATCGAAACACTGGTATATCTAACAGGTTCAATTTTGAGAACATTTCTTGTGAGCCATGAAATTTGGTTGGGATTGTTAGAATAAATGGGCTAGGCCCAATTTAATTCAATTAAAATCTCAAGAGCGCACAAGTAATGTTAGAGAGAATAATACTGCCTTGAAAATTTAGGTGGAAGAACCTCAACTTAAATAGGGTGATATTAGAGATTCCCTGTTGACCGGTTAAGGTGATGGTTGGACTGCCACACGCATGCGCGCATGCTGAGTCGGCCTCGGCCGTGGGCCGTGGGCGTAGCGAGGCGAGGTGGCCGACCGAGCTGAGCCTGCCTGCTGCTCTTCCGTTTTGTAACAGACGAGAATAAAGTCACCATTAACAAATGAAATTCATTGTGTTGTAACCTCCACAACAAATGAGACATTCATTGTGTTGTAACCTCCACAACAAATGAGAGATTCATTGTGTTGTAACATCCACAACAAATGAGAGATTTATTTGTTGTAATCTTCACAACAAATGAAAGATTCATTATGTGGTAACCTTCACAACAAATGAGATTCATTATGTGGTAACCTTCACAACAAATGAGATTTATTTTGTGGTAACCTTCACAACAAATGAGATTTATTTGTGTGGTAATGGAGATCTCTCTCTCTACATATAACGCAAGGCAGAGGCTCTCAAAGTGTGTGTCTTCCTCCTACTATTGTTCCTTGGCGATACTCTCCTTCTGTTCCTGCGCTGTCTCTCTGTTTCCCCGGTTCTGTTCATCCCGCGCGCAGAGGTGATCGGAACGAGCAGGTGCCTCCGAAATTCCGTCCGCTTGAGAACCTGCACGGGAAGGCGGGCGATCAAGTTTTTGGGTACCGCTTCAAGCGCGACTGCTCTACATCATCTTCACCAACATTATTGCGTTCTCTTATCTATGTTGATGCTTATTCTATATTAAGCATGCTCATATTGTACACATCTAGCACTGTCACTAGATCTACTCAAATTACAAATGTCATGTTTATTGTCTAAATATTTTGGATTAAAATATGGCGAATTATGACCAAATTTTCCAACACACTACAACTAAAAGAATGTGACTCCATGAGTAAATCACCCAAAACGGAAGTTGGAGGGACGACTTGGGTTTAGCGGCATTCAATCAAACAGCTCTGGACAAAACAAGAGAATCTGCAATCAGGTAAGAACTTGCTGCTAATCATTCAAGTTAAAATCAAATAGTAAAATGGAAGGTAGAAGTGATCATACCAATACAAAGAAAATCTAGACAGTGGAAGAAAAGGAGAGTGGAATTTGTTGGTGGAGAATGCCAGCAGGAGGTAGCACCGTAGCAGTAGTGGACCACCCCATCCGTGCCGAGCGAGTCCAATGGCCTCTAACCTCAACCGACCTGATTTGACATCTTGGACCTGGCGTTCGATGGATGAGGTGACACCGGGTTCGATGGGGAAGGAGGAGACGCTGGCCCCGGGAGGGAGCTCGGGGGAGGACGCCGCTGCATCCTCTATTCCTCTGTGAGAGCTCGAGCTCGGGAGGTGAAGCCGGGGAGGAAGTGGGGTCGCAAGGATGGAAGCGGGATCAAGGGGTCATCATTAGGAGGGCGGAGGCGGAGGGGGTGGCGTGGTTTCTGCCGCTGTTTTGATGCTGCGGGAGTCGGTATGTGCGGATGCGGATGGATAGTAGAGAATTAATCTGTGATTTGGCCTGTAGGATTGCTACAGATGAACTCCTCCTTTTTATATTAGTATAGGAATATAACTAGAGATGATTCGGCGATTATGCTTTGAATCATGATTTTTTTTATAGATATTACGGGATCTATTCAGAACACTCTTTTGTGAGAAGTTCGAACCATCCACTTAGGAATTATACTACAATACAAACACACTGTGGTTTGAATTTTTTTCAAAACTGCAGATTAGTAGTGAACTCATCATTGTCTTCAAATAACCAAGCTTGTGTCCATTGAATTAGCATAATTTGCCTCTCTTAATAAAACAGTAGGGATCAATAAAATAAAGCAGTGGTCAAAGTTGCATTTTGGTACTGTTAATGTCAAAATCGATATGTTCACTAGACCAGAGTAGTATAAATTCTGCCATTATGTCTTTACGTGGAACACTTTGAGATCTGTATGCTTAGTGTATTAATGATTTTGCACATATCTATCTAATAAATTATCTGCATGACCATTGCAGCTAGCTAGCCAGCTATGCATGTCCTCTACCATGACTAGAGAGACCGGTTGGCAAAAGGGCATAATGCACTCCAGTGTTCTAAACTGTTTCTTTATCATATTTCTGCATTAATAAAAAAATAACATTTCGGTGCGCAGCGGTGACCATGATACCGTTTTGCCATTTCTTGGTACACAAACCTGGGTGAGGTCACTCAACTATCCCATTGTAGATGACTGGAGAGCTTGGCATGTGGATGGCCAGTCCGCAGGGTGAGTTTTAATTATGTTTGATTAGTTCTGTTGTTTGGCTTACATAATCAAAATGGTTGTCTAATAAGTTTTCAGTATACAAACTGCTTTCAGGAATAACTTTTCTAAAACTTCAATTAATTTGCAGATTCACCGTAGCATATGGAAACAACCTGACATTTGCTACTGTTAAGGTAACAACCCATCAATGCACATCCAATTTTATGAATAATTTATATATAGATATTTCCAAAGGTTGTTGTGAATGGAGTTACGTTCTGATTCACGATTACATATCGTTGATACAAATTCAACCCGCGTCATGATGAGGATTTTTAATCTGTATTACTGCTAATGATATTTACTTTAGTTCAAAGATTATTCTATTTTATCAAAAATTTCTTATATTATTTAAAAATGAAATCATTGGTATGCGAAGAAATCCTCACAACATGGGAAAGACCTTGCCACACCAGTGTTAGCAACATTTGTGGCCCCAAGGTTCATTTTTTAAATATAAGTTCATTGAAGGTTCATTTTTTAATTTATATTAGAAAGGTTAAAAGATAATAAAATTTCAAAAACTCTTTAGAAGGACCTTGATATCACCAAGGGGTCAAATTGGCGTTCCTAAACATTCGATTTGAATCCGGAACATTTGGTCTAAGATTAAGAGTTGTGATCTTATAGCAAAACGTCCAATGGCAAGGTGGTAAATCAAGAACTAACCACTTGCAGATCAAACAAACAACAAATATAGCTACCAAAATGTGTGAAACAAGATACAAAGAAAATAACAATATCATCAACTAGATTAAACTAAGCACATAGGTAGATGAGGCAAATGAAGAATAATAATGGAAAAACACACGAGAGACAAAATCAAAATATTTGTTCTGTGATGTTTAGATCCACTGATTCCATTTCAAAGGCCATGTCTCTTTCCACTCTTATACTCACTAAGGCAACACCAAAGTGCTTCTGATGTTTAGTCTTTATTTCTTCTATTATGGAGGCAAAATCGAAATCTTGACAAACATCCATGCCACACTACATAAGCTTGGGTACTCACCAGCAACACCCAGCCATCTAAAAGACCTTAATGTCCAATATAGTAATACACACATTACAAAATTTCCTATAAACTCAAGTGCTCAGACGATGAAGTAAACTCACTAGCTTACAACATTTCAATCTGTCACTAATTTGATAAAAAAAAGAGGGGAGGGGGGGGATATGTAAGAACTATATGGTCATGGATATGCATAACTCTTTGTACAAACTCAACAACTCCTAAAGGAGGGGGATGAGAGCTTTAAATAGCATCGTTATATTTCTACCCGTTAAGGTAAAAACAATAGGTGGCTGAATTAAAATAACCATAACATCTCGCTCTCAAGTCTGTTTTCGAAATCTTGAACTCTATGTAAAGCTTAATTCGACATCTAGGTAACACAACTAAAACCACACAAAGTAGATGTTAAAACTGTTGATTCTCTTAAGATAGCACTTGGATATGTCACTTTGAGCACCGTCAATAATCAAGGTACAATTCTGCATTCCTCTTGACAGGACATAATTCCTAAACTCAAATGCAATTAGAAAAATAACTATACCAATGAGAACACATGTACTGTCATGGTTATGGATACCAAATACCTAATAGTAGTTGATTAGGCACGGCTGGACCCACCACATATCAAGTCTTATACGGAATTAGGCCTCACTTACGGAAGGTATTCCGGATAAGGAAGGACAAGTAAAGTTCTATATGGAAACTATAAGGACTACTTGGATTGTATCCATATTGGTCTCCCTAGTTCTAGTTGGATAAGGGGACACCTATAGGCATAAATAGACCCCCTAGGAGGAGAGGGAGATAAGCCACAAGACATACAAATCGACACACAAGCCAGGACAAACCAATACGCCACCAGATATCGACATCAGAGATAAGCCTAGACAGACCCCATTTGGTGCCTGTAGAGGCCAACTAAAGGGATCTAATGCCATCTTTGATCTCGATGAGTTCATATTCGAGGAGGAAGACTACCCTATCGTCGACTACGTGTTAGTGATCCATGCCGCCAAGTCGATGACAGCTAGATAGGTTTTCCCAAATATTGTACTTGTGTGATTCAGATAAATAAGAGCAACATCGACTTCGGCCAACAGGAGTAGGGCTATTACCTGTCAGATAAGGGGTCCGAACCTATATAAAATCCTTGTTTTCATCTCTTTTACCTCAATCTCGCATATACCCTGGTACCAACGATCCCCATACCATCCAAATACCCTAGCCGAGACCTAAAAGGTCGACATGTACGTCATCTTCTTTCCTTATCATGAGGATTGCCTTGATGAATTATCACTTTCGATTTTAGCTAGATATTCATCAATATATGAAGTTTGACCACTTCTATATCTTCATGCCACTTGATGTCATTCAACAAGTAAAGTCCAATCTTTACCCATTTTGCAGTCAAACTCGATGTGGGTCCACCTATGAATTACATCTTATTGATCTTCACCATTTCATCTTGCATTCTTTTAATGGTTGATGTGGGTTACTCATAGATTCAACTGACCTCGGGTGGACCATCACGGCAAAGCCTTCAATCATCCTTATGAATGAAATGGTCACGGAAATTACCTACTGACCTCGTTTCTGACCATTACCGTTTCTAGACATATATAAAATTTAACTTATTTAACTTATCTAATTTATTTCAACATCTGATTGATGTTGACACTGAATAGTTCAATTGATAAATATCATCAATTCCCAATTGATCGAGCAACATTTCTGAAGAGATCTGCCCCATTTCATCCCTACTCGTACGCACCACCAAATTTGGTCAATTGGTGGCAATCACTTGCTTGCCCTTCACCATCGCATGGCTCATCATGGCGGACATGGCTTACCCATCGCCATTTTGTTGTAGATAAATAAAAAGCTATGTAATAGCTAACCATGTGCACGTCGTGTCTCCATGCTAGCACTTGTAGTAGTCATTATCAATTGTGGCCAAGAGATGGTAACTAATCATGAAAAGAACATTCTCCAATGTAGTCGTATAACAAGTGTCAATGTTTTATATCGGTATAATAAAAGGGGTAGCACACGGGACCTAAAAATAGATGGAAGTGGAAGATAAGGGTTTGTAGAAGTTCAGGCCTGCCCAATGCAAGGTATTACCATATTCCTATTTTAGTGGATTGTATCTATTGGGTGTATTGATCTTGATGTTGATCTCATGATTTGATTGTGGGTTGTGTATCTCATTTCTGGTTGCCCTCGATGGGGCTCCCTGCCAACCTTATATAGGTTGGAGGTGCAGGGTTACAAGTAGGAAACCGAATTAGATATTCCTTTGGTTACCTTACCTATACATGGTATTATTTGGTTGGGGCTATATAACCTTGCTTGGAATACAAGAGGTAACATGGCAACTGTATTCTACTCTATTTTATATTACATTGTAGTCGGATACCTAACTATTGTTATTTGTTATGATCACAAATAATTCCACAAGCGCACAGATATCAATGTACAACTTCACCATAGATTATTTCAAGGGTATCGAATCATAAGGAACATGTGTGTAATATCTAAAAAACATGTTTGTCCAAGGACAATAACTAAATCATAGGCGGAGGATAGAGAAGTTTCCGAAGGGTCAAAATTCTTGAATTAAGTTTTGGTAAAAGTCTATCACTTGCTTTGGGTACCGGCTCTCCCCTGGCACACCAAGCAAATCTGGCCAATAGCTCTGTGATGTACCCGAATGTGAAGGATCATAATGGACGAACAAGGCTGTTATCACATGCCGCCTACCTATACAATCCGTGGAGCACACAACAAACCAAGGTAACCTCTAACCTAGACACTACGTCTACGTTATCAATTACTACACTAGCCTCGGTCAAGAACTTTTTTTTCATCCAGAGTCTTAATACTATAGCACTTAATACAAATACTAAGTGACGAACCCACAGTGATGAGAATATGTAATGATCTAAATCACCCTAATCTTTAAATCGTGCTTTTATGCATTTTCTAGAAATTGTAAAAACCAAAACGAGCCTCAAACAATTAAAAATATCAAGATAGAACTCAAATTGGCTTGTGGGAATTGTTATTGAATTTCTCATGCCTCCAAATATTTAAACAAATTTTACTCGAAATTTCAGCTCGCTCTAACAAATTTTACTGCCACAAACACTTTTATTAGAGTTTTATAACAAGAAAAATAAAAGAAAATCCTCTCTTCCTCTTGCGCCGAATCTGGCCCAAGGTGTCCTTTTCCACCCTCTTCACCCCTCCTGGTCTAGGCCAGCCACCTCTTTCCCCTCCCTCCTTCCGGGCCTCCCCCTTCTTGGCCCATTCTTTCCCTCCTTCCCTCCACTTGGCCTGCTCCCGCACGTGCCCCATCTCCTCTTCCCGCGCCCAGCCGAGCCCGAGCACTGTGTGCGGCACACGCGAGCGCTCACCCTCACGCGTTGGTAGGTGGGGCCCATGGATCAGCTCATCCCCTACCTCCAGCCACCGCCGCATCCTCTCACTCCTCCAAAAACTCTAGCTGTTTCTCCCCAAATCCTCAGCAATCAATCCATCCGTGGTTTTCAAACTAAAGTGGTGGAGTTAATACCCATTAAATCCTCTTCAATTTCCCCAATTGCCCCCTTGATTATAGCTCCCAATCTCCACGAATTGGCCGCTCCTCCCTTAGGTCTTGTTCGTTTAATCCCCAAGAGAGGTGGAACGGAGGGGATTAAGGAGGAATAATTCCACGCCACAATAGGTGTGGAATAAATCACCTCTAAATCCCCCTCAAACCTTTTTTTATGTAACCCCCCTCAATCCTATTGTGGGGGAGATTAAATGAACAAGGCCTTACCGGTTTCCATGGCTACTGGCGGGATTTACGGCGCCATTCCGCCACTCCCCTTGGACCGTTCTCTCCATCGGCCTATAATACAGAGTTCTCTCCCTCCTATCTTTCCTTTTCCCCCTCCCGAGCTTTGTTGCCGTTTCCCCACTCTGCTCCTCTCTCTCCTCCGAACTAGGTGTTGTCCAGCAGCCTATTTCTCCTCGTCGACGCTCCACCTTTACCTCACCGCCACCTTCCTCCACTCTGTGAGGACGAGCTCGAACTCGGCCACCGTTTGGCTTTGCCCAGAGGCCACCTCACCGCGTCACCGGCCTCTCCTTCCTCCTTGTTGAAGAACCATATTATGAACTTATGAACTGTTTAAACTTAGCCTTTATGCAAATGAACCATATTATGCCATTCCTTTGTTACCCCTATGCATTATTGTGCATCTCCGATATGGCTTGCTAAGTACCGTGAGTTGTACTTATCATTTCTTACATCTAATTCAAAAGATGGATATTCTGGAGAAGAAGGCTTGGATGGCTAGCTCGTATCACCGTCAAGTATATCTAGTTGTTGTTTCCATAAGCTTCCGCTATCATTTTGTTTATCTTAGAGTGTAAGGGCCTATGCTCACTCTTTAATAAAGTATTATATTTACGCTTCCGCAAGTGTAGCTTGTAATACAACAACTTTGTTATTGTTGTTATTGTACTCCGCCTTCCTGGGACAGGGATTAATACAATTAGTTTTTGGGAATATGGTTGTATTTCTCCGGGCATGATGAAATTTATCCTACATAAATAAGAAAACAAAATACCCGAAAGAAATCACGTATACTTATATAAAAAAAGCATTTGTCAAGGTAAAACTGTGGAAAGAGTACCAACAACTCCGGCACTCCTCCAGAGCTTTCCGTCACGCTCTTGCCATATTCTAACTCTACTAGAAGGTTGCCTAAATATGTGTTGTGTTGTGTTGAGTGTAAAGTGAGAAGCTCCTTTTATAGGGTCCAATGACGGCTGTGGTTAATCGGTCTCACACATAACCAACATTGGGGACCAATGGGGGAGTGCCACGTAGAAGAATGCGATTAGGGGTGCCATTAGTGGTTCGGTCGAACCACCTCCACCGCCCCTAGCCACAGACCTTCTCTGTGAGGATTGCAAGTGGGCCCCTATGATGATGATGCACGATGGATAGGCTTGAAATATCACTACACCATGACACAAAATCCCCAACGGAAAATCGGTTGGGAAAGACCACATTCAAAGACAAACTGTCGGTCGGCAAAAGTTTTCCTAACCAACTTCAACAGTCATAAGATGTCTAGTCGGCAATGACCGATATATTTTTACCGACCGACCATTAGATCCCGATGACAGATTTGCCGACAAACATTATTTTTTCCGACCAACATATTTTTCCCAACCAACCACAATTCCCAACCGATGACTGGCCAAAGATATTACAATTGCCGACCCACATTCAGTCCAAGAACTCAGTTTCTTCTTTTTTTCACATATACAATTCAATAATATACGGTGAATTGTATTTCAAAACTTCTTGAACACATGGAGCATAGGGAAAAACTAATAGTCACACCAAATAATGAAAGTCTCACTTTATTCATTCAACGAACTGTATTACATAGTTCTTCAAAAGCTACACATAAATCCCAATATTCTCTAAGTACAAAGAAGTTCCTAGTAGCAACTTTCCATCTAACAAGTTCTATCCATTGTACAATGTCTTCATCATCAAGTGAATTTGAGCAACAGGATCAGTGGTTCCTCTAGGACCTCCTCCTGCAAAAAGGAACTAGTTTAGTCAAGTAGCTGAACTTTTAACTAAATGTTGCTAACAAAAAAAATATTCTAAAACACTATGTCAAGTACTCTAGTTGCTTCCAATCATTTGGGGCTCTAAATTCTCCACACGCATGATATGCTTCAACAAGCATATAGGAGCTTCTTCCCATTATTTCAGTACCATATATATATTTTTCAAGACTAAGGGCCTGTTTAGATCCATTTGGAATGGCAAATGGCAAATGGCAAAAGTTTTGGTAGCAAAAGTTTTGGCATTGCAAAAGTACTAGTTGGTGTTTAGATGCATGTTAAAGTTTTGCCATTCTAGCACTAAAGTGAGAGAGAGAAAGAGAGAGGGAGTGGTCCCAAAGCATTTTTTGGCACAATTTGCTACTATGGACTAGCAAATGCCAAATGCCAAATTGCCAACTTTTGCTACTAGTGTTTAGATCCAAAATGGCAAAAAGTGCTACAAAATGGTAAAACTTTTACCATTTTAGAGGATCTAAACAGGGCCTAATAGAAGTAAAACCAAGTTTGTAAAATACTACAATAAATAAGTAGTAGATAGCAAGCAGTAAACATCGATCGGATCTAAAGTACAATGTCCATATATTATATTCTTTCCAACTTGTGAATGTAAATCCACGGTACCAAGATAACAAAATTGGAGTTCTCTTCAAATAAGATACAAATTTGTAAAAGAAACCGCATATAAGTGGTTTTGGTCACCGCCTTACCGGCCGGCATCGGTGTCCTAAGATTACAGAAGCATACAAACTCAACTGTGGTTGAAAGCTTGAAGCCACTGCCATGCTGGAGCAGCCGATGCCAGTCATGGAACAGCAAAACAAAGTCCTCATCATGGAACCTGCAAGAAACAAAAACAACAGCCTGAGATAATCCTATGTTCATATATTTTAAAATTTAAATTTTCATTAAATACATTGCACATACATGATTGCAAAAATATAGTATCTGGGAACAAATCTATTAAGACAGGCATTGCTACGATTACATGAAAGAGCTTAAAGACCACGTGTTTCTTAGGCAAGGGTGATGTATATGACTAGTGAATCTATGCTTATGTGGAACCTATGTCCAACATCAGTAGTCAATCTTGAACAGAAAAATAAAACTAATAAATCATAAAGTACAATCTGCACACATAATGTCGAAGTATCAAATATCATATTTTATAAGAAAATTCAGGTATTATAATAACAGATAAACTAGAAGTTTAAAGCTCCTTAGTCCTTACCTTCAATAGATCAAACATATAATATCAAACAAGTTATCCATCAAGCATGTCATTTTGAGGTGCACACAGAACTATACTCTATTTTCCCACATTATCAACCTTCACACGAACAATTAAAACTGAACATAACAGTGATACTTGCCGTTATTCTCTTCATTTCGAATCTCAGGTCTCAAATCGTGTATCTTTGTTCACTCCGCCTCTGGATTCCTCTGCAATTTTGCATATAAGAGAAGCGAGAGCATCACATCAAACATCTTGACAAATCTGCCGCATGCAAGTGGGTTAGTCACCGGAAGTAGTGTTGCTTGTGAGATTACAGATACGTACCAACTCGTGGTTAGTAATAATTCCTACCATTAGGTTTGGTGTTTCATTTTATTTTCTTTTATGAATGATTTGATGGTCAGATTTGGTATTTAAGGATCGTCAAATAACCATTTTGTCCGCAACAAGATAAAGAAAAATAGTAGTTTCAAATTGCTTGATATATTTTGTTTACGCTTTTACTTTTTTTATGAAATGTTTAGGCTTTTACTTTTTTTATGAAATGTTTACGCTTTTTCCTCAATCTATCAGGGTGGTGGACATACTGCACCAGAGTACCAGCCGGGGAGATGCTCAGCCATGTTTAGGCGCTGGATTTCAAACATGCCACTGTGATAAATTAATGATTATGCTAGCCGGCTAGCTGTACAGTGTACACAATATGATGGATATGTATTTTCTCGATTTCTGGTTAATTAATTACCTTGCACCATGCTGTACCAGATTCTGAAATATCGTACGCGGTCGAGGCAGATAAAGTTTTTCATGGAACAAGTCATGCTGGTGCCATGTGCCAATCCTGAGCTAGTGCTTGAAAACAAAAGCTTGATCTGTCCAATCATTTGAAGAATTTTACTTCCTCTTTATCTTCAGGTGCTAGTTTTCGATGAGGTATTTTAATATTTTGTGATTATTTTATTGGCTGCTCAAAGTTTGGCAGATATATTCTAATAAAATAGATACCTACGTACTTTGGCACTCTCAGGAAATTGAGACAATAATCTAGGGATTTTGAATAAACCAAGCGTCTAAACTATGTTTATAATTTAGTCCGTTTAACAGGAGAGAATTTTTATGCATATTGAAAAAAAAAAGAAAGAGCACTACCAATACATCTGGGAAACCGATCAGACATAAGGCGTCTATCAAACCGGTCACAAATTTCGGTGGTATATATTCTAAAACACTATTGTTTTAAACTTTTAAAGCAATATAAATTATTTGTCTATAATTATATACTAAAAGTTCATACTATAAACGCTCCTAAGCATATGATGCTCCTGCAAATGCTTCAAAGAGTGTCACGTGGTTCTTTAAAAAAAACTACTCGATTTCCCTTAAACCATAATACCCATTATTCTTTAACTATTAGATTTATGTTTAGAGATATAGATAACTCAAATGGATCGGCAGACCCATTACAGGGCATTTAGTTGGGGGAACTATTAAGAGTGAATGGGAGTTTGAGGGATGTGGGTGGTTATGGCTGTTGTTTGTTTAGTTGATATTAGTGAGCGTGCACGTGTAAGACATGTTGCCATATATTGAATGAAGTAAATTGAAAAAAACAAATACATCCATCGCTTAAATCAATCTTAACCCTACAGGTAAACAGTTCATACTTTCAGAGACAACTCGGTGTGGTTAGTGCATCAGATGCAAATTATGTGCAGAAGAAGTGTTTTCTGGCAGGTCATATTGAGCACAAACATCTTGCAAAAAGCACATAACATTATATTCTAATTCACATTTATTTTTTCTTCAAATAAGAATCTTAAGGGTAAATAAAACTCATAGAAGAATAATCTTAGTGTGTTTCCTTAAATTTATTGAACCCATAGGTAAAATAAATAAAATCATTGTCCCCACTACATAAGATTTTTTGAATTGGCAAGGATCTCAGATCAATCTTGCTCCCATAAGTATCAGGCAAAATTTGCTACAGCACACTTAAAGATTATGGTCTTTGCTGTGAGACACCCGAAGATCGTGTATTTGCCCTTGGACACCGAAAAATGTGGTAATTTGCTGGCGGACACTCCTCCCATTATTTTATTATTTCCGGCTGAAACGGTGAGAGAAACTTTCCTAAAAGACATTTTGCCCATGGGCCATTTGTATAAGCCGACCAGGTCCGGCTGCAACCAGATATGAGAGAAGGAGGAGGAGGCAGAGCAGCCATGGCTCCCTGGCCGTGCTCTGCCATGGCGGCGGCGCAGCGGCGTTCGTTGGTGACGGCGCATGGCTGCCGCGACGAGCGTCGGCATCTGCAAGAGGAGATGGAGGCGAACCCGGTGGCGTGGCACGGGGCTCTGGGATGGCGTGGAGGTGGCGCTGCGGCAACGGACAGCGTTGGCCGGAATTGGGGAAGAGAGAGAGGCAATGGCGCGAGGGGAAGAAGGCTTCGGCCTTGGAGCTCACCGGCGACGGCAGCGCAGCAAGGAAACGGCGATGCCCACGGTGCAGCAACCGGCCGTGATGGCCTCCACGACGCGGCGGCTCGCCGCGGCCGCGCCCTCGTCATCGCCGGTCAGGCACAGGCAGAACCGCGCTCTGCCCATGAGCTTGCCGTGGTCCACCCCTGCCGGGAGGAGACCGTACAGCAGCTCCTGGTCATCCCGCCCCTCCCACCGCGTGAGCAGCACCTCCCGCACGGCGCCGCTACCTGTAGCGAAGAACACGACCTGTGTCAGGGGCAGGAAAGAGAGAAGAAAGAAGAACAGTGTCAGGGGCATTTTGGTACTTTCAACACTCTTTCTCTCTGTTTTCACCGAAAATAATAAAATAATGCCTCGAGTGTCTAGCAGCTAATTACCATATTTTTACAGTGTCCATAAGCAAATACACGATTTTTGGGTGTCTCACAGCAAATGCCACAATCTTTGAGTGTCCTGTAGCAAATTTTGCTACTGTATCAGCTCATAGCCCCATAGACAACATGGCAGTCAGTCAAGTAGACATGAAGGGAAGATAGTCTTCAGGCAGGTCATTATGGAAAAACATCTTCTAGAAAGACAAAGTCTATGGTCATCATCCATAAACATTTCCCCAAAAAAAGTAGCCTATGGCCATCATGCATAAACACCTTCCTAAAAACTCTTATCTTCTAGACTGAATCAACAAAGGCACACAACTTCTTCTATCTACCCATGATTTTTTATGGTACTACCTAGTCTCGTGTCCAAGTTTGTCATAATATGCCCACGCACAGTGTCATATGTATAGATTATTACGTTTAGGTGAAGGAGTGAATTAGGTGTTTTCTAACTACTCAAGTTTAAGGAAAGTTCATCCCTCTTCCTTTGATCACATTGAAACCCATGATTTGGGAGATCAAAAGTGTTGTTTGCAAAATTGCATGCTTATTTATAACTATCGGTAACAGGGCAAATGGTAATTATGCCTGTTGACTGCTGTTAAATACCAAATTCACGCCGTCAATACCTGCATAAATATGAGAGTATAAAATATCCAACATAGTGGTAGGGTTTATTTCTAACAAAGTCCACTAGCGTTGGTGTATATTTGGATGCAGGTGACAAATCATCAAAGTTGAGACAAAAGATACATAAAGAAGGAGGTAAATTAAACTTCCATATTTAAGCCTATGGAGTTTTTGTGTCACAAACCTAATCAAACACAAGCAAATGGGCCCATTCACCATATATATATGCACCGAGGAGTCCTTCACCAGAGCCCAGGAGAAAATTCGGGGCAAAATGGGCCAGCAAGGGTTTGGCCGAACACAAAAGGATCCCAATCGGCTCCATTTTTCACGGGCAGATACTTACCGATATTCTAAGACCCTTGAGACCGTTTCTCAAGAGGACACATGGCAAGAGGAGAGTGAAGATGCCATTTAGATGCTTAGCATCTCCACATTTTCCCAAAGCATCTCCCTACCTATAAATACCTCTCTCTTCCTCACTTCTAAACACGCTCAAGCATGAGCTGAATTATAAGAGGCTCTATTGTATCTTTTATATACATTAGAATAGGCAGACAGTAAGGAAGAAAGAGTCGGAGGAATTCCGAAGTTGTCAGTATTTTCCTCTTTACCTTTTGTACCTTGTCAATTACTTTGCTTTAATTGATAATATCTTTATCGAGTAAGTGAGTTTTACTTTGTGAGGATTATCTCTTAGTTAGTTCCTATTAGCATATTGGATTATTGTTCACTATTGTTCAATAATAGATAGTGATTACTTTAGTGTTTAACTAACGCTACAATAGTAATTAATTGCATAGACGCAATGTCTAGGTATTTAATTACCAGTGATTGCTGCGTATCTAACATTTCGTTAGAGGTTGGTGTAGAGGTGGTGATAGCCCTCGAGATCACCGGTCCTCCCTGTCCGGGTATGGAGTAAAGCGAGATCTGGTAGCAGCGAGCAAGCCAATGCCTGAAGTATTGCGATAGGATTAAATTTAAGTTTTCTGTACACACTGTTCCTCACTAGGAAATCATCTCTACGCTTTGCCCATTTTGCTTTGTGTCCTTGGTTGAACTTTAAGAGGAGTTGAACACACACGTTCCCCGTGTCCTTGGTTGAACTTTAAGAGGAGTTGAACACACATATATATATAGAAAAAATGCCCGTGCGTTGCAACAGGTAAAAACATTTTTTATACTATACAATATACTCCCTTGTTTTTGTTTTTGGACCGAACGTTCATTCTTTCCTTCCTTTTCAGCTCAGTCCCAGTGCAGTCCGCTGTCTCTATTTGCTCGGCCTATCTCTCTCTGGCTCAGCCCACAAGTGGAGCTGTAGGCCCAGCTCGAACAGTCCTTTGCCTGGCCTATCTCTCTTTGGCTCAGCCCATAAGTGGAGCTGTAGGCCCAGCTCGAATAGTCTTGTGCCTGGCCTAGTGGCCTACCTCTCTTCGGCTCAGCCCGCAAGTGGAGCTGTAGTCCCATCTCGAACAGTCTCATGCCCCGTACCATGACGGAGCCGATCTTCCCACCAAATCCGGTAATCTAGTCGAGCTCGCATAATACCGTGCACGTACAATGATGGAGTCGATCCTCTCCGTCAAATGCGGCCGAATCTTTCTCGACCTCCAAAATTATTGACATATTTTAATCCACTTGATCTCCTTTTTCTATTTTTTTCATAAAAATCGAAGCAATCCGCAAAATTTGGGATAAAAAATGACGAACTAAAGGGAATTTAAGGGGAAAATGATGAGAGAGTAGTGGGGAATCCGTTTTTCAATCAATTGGATGAGGAAACACATGGAGAGGCAAATCGATACGGCGGCTAGGGTTCGGCCCCACAAAAAAAAACCGCCAAAAAAATAGCGTGTTGGATTTCGTTGAAACTGGAAAAATGGTGAAAAAAATGGCGAAAAGAAAATGAAAAGGAAAAAGGAAAAAAAGAAAGGGACGAAAATTTTGTTTTTTTGGCTCTTTTATATGTTTTTTCTGCCGTGCCGGGTTTTTTTTACAATCGTTTTTTTTGCGGCACTTTTTTTGTCCGCTTTTTTATACGGACAGGAATCGGTCAGGTTTTTTTTTCCCGCGCCGTTTTTTTTCGCGCCGGACTTTTTAATTACAATCGAACTTTTTTTTATCGCTTTTTTTAATTAACGGACGAAGGAAACATCTTATACTTTTTAAGTAGTAGTAGAAGTAGAAGTGTGTGTCTATATATATATATACATATATATATATATATATACATATATATATAGCTAAAATAAGTCTATTTTACATCCCTACTCTTTGAGCCGTGCAATATAATAAGGCTACTTTTCCTCCCTATTCTTTGTGACGTGCTTTACATATGGTTGAGAATAAATCTGTTTCGCATCCCTAAACTTCGGGCCAGGCCGTGCCGGCCCAGCGTGCTAAGGTAGCAGCCTAGACACG